AATAGGAATTAAAGTGACAAAGACATTTGTTAAAGACTTTGAAATTTAAAACATAGTACTTAAACTTGTAACTGTTAATACTTTGTAGTTATAAGATATATACCTTACATATTTATATAAAAACGGGGATTTAATTAAAAGCCAAGCCTAAGGACTAAAGGCATGCTCACATGTACGAATGAATTAGAAGGTTTTGACCAGTGCAGGCCTTTTAGAAGTGTTTTATGGAAAGAAAATTGCTAAAATTCTAGCATTTTTCCAAACAGACTTTTTTAATGGCTGGCTTTATGTAATTATGGTTCATCTGTTTTATTTATTTCAACTTCTGCTGTCATAAATAAATAACATTTGCCATGCTGATTTATTATTTAAATATATTCAAATATTTTTCTCAATGTATTTGCTAATTTTTTATTTTTTTTTTAACTTCTGAATCACTTTATTTAAACTATAACTTTGGAAACATATAAATCATAAGATGTCAAAATTATGTAAAATTTAAAAACATCCCCAAAGTTACTCTTTGGCTTGGAAAACTGCCATGAGCATTTCTAGAATGAAAATAAAAGGTAATAAATTACACGTCCCTGAACATCTAGGTGAAAATTAGCCTAAATCTCTTAAAAACATAAAGTTTTGTAGCTTTTTGTTCTTATTTTCAACAGCTGAACTTGGCACAATATCCAAGTCATTACTTTCCAGATATAACTTTCTCTGAGCTGGGATACAATTCAATTCAATTCTGTATAAAATTGTGCATGAATTATTCTTAATTTAAAACACTGCAGTCCAGAAAAAATGAGCTTCCATGCTGAATATGAACCAGGGACCACCAGTTGATGATCACTAGTATAAAAATATATCTGTCAAACAAATAAAACTTCTGTTTATTATTTAATTAATTTATTTATTTTTGCTAATTCAGTACTATAAGATCCTATAAAAACATAAATAACGCTCATTGTTCTTAATATTTATTCATCAACTCAGTCATTTGCAATTTAAGATCATTGTCAAGATTTGTGTACAAAGTATTTTGTGCTATTCTTTTAGTTTGAGTAAACCTCTTTAAAGCACATGGCATGATGCCCCTTAGCTCGTGACTTCTTGACATTTGTAAACACAGATTTATATAAATCTTCTCTAATTCACAGCACATTGCCAGTTTAGAATGATGCTTGTGCTGCAGGTTTCCTGCCTCCTTGACTTTACTGTATGTAATGAACCAGTTTGTGTTTACTGTGAGATCAGATTGTAATTGACGTACATATCGTGTTTTTCAGATTTATATATATATATATTTTTTTCTTGGAGTTTAAGTGCCAACAACTGTTAAACTAAACAGATGAAACACATCAGGCTGGCTGGCTCCATGTCTCATTGTATGCTGCTTGCTGGTTTGTTAAATTTTGTTCAAATTGCACCATTAAAACCCAGCACGAATCTGTCCAAACATTTACTTCATTAATCAGGTACCAATGCAATGATGTCACTTCGGCACTTTCGCAGCTTCGGACATTATTGATTATGTGGCTTTTGCCAAACGAATCAAGTTCCGACACAGAGCTTCAAAAACATTGTGTTGTTGTATTTTTATATATACCCCGGAGCATCAGCTTCACTACTTCTGAGTTTTTTCCGTTTGTAAGCATTTTTGCTGGCACAACAGATTTGGGTTTCTTTTGTAAATATATATAAAAAAAATATATTATTATTATTATTATTTTGTATTTTACCTTCAAGTCTTTGAGTTTGGTTCTGCATCTTGGGTTCCATTTTGTCACTAAATGATCATAATTACCTTTACAAATTGGTCTACCATATTTTTCGGCCTATAAGTCACATTTTTTTGCATAGTTTGCATACCCTGCGACTTATATGCCTAAGCGACATACTTTGTATTTATGGATTTTTTTCCCATATTTATAAACCAATTTTTGGCTTGAGATATGTCCATTTTCATTCATTCTGACTGAAAATATTGAACACAACTATTTTCAGCTGCAAGATGGCACTCAAGTTGTATGGCATGCTGTTGTATCGTGTAATAGGTAAAAGTGGCTATTAATAACAAATCGGGTTGCCACAGTCTGCCACCTTCGTTCAGCTCACCTGGAGCAACTATCAAATCAGCTTCGTTTTGCTGCGCCACCCTGGTGAAGAGCAGCTAATTTGACCATTGAAGTGCATTTAATAAGGAAATGTTCAACTGAGACATACCTTTAGTATAAGGGTACAATATATGTTATGTGTTTGCTCGAAATTATACACATAATTGTTTTTAGGTGGTTATCTTGTTAAATTTTTTGAAGAAATGCACAGCGAGTCCTCCCATGCACGCACCTACTTCCGTGTATTGGCTTTTGAAATGCAGCTGATTTGACCATCAAAGTGCATTTATTAAGGAAAATTTAGACTGAGACACGCCTTTGCTATAATTTTGAGCAAATAAATAATTGTTTTTAAGTGTTAATCTTGTTAAATTCTTGTTAAAATCCTCCCGTGCACACTCCCGCGGCCACCATTTGGCAGCCAATCGATTTTTGGCACAACACCGGCCCACATTTCCGGGTTGTCAGCAGTGACGTGTACCAAACGTAACGCGTCAGCGGTGATGCATAATAGATGCAACATGTATGGCGAAGCAACATTTTTATGGATTTTTCCACATTATTAGACATATTTGGACTGATGCAACCGGGCAGTGCGATGTGTACGACACAAAAAACGGTATAGCAGCAGAAGCAAAGAAAATTTAGGATGGAAAAAATTGCAACAATCTAGTTTAACAATCTGTGTTCAATGGTTTTGTAATATTGTGTTTGAAATAGGGTTTAATTTAAAAAAAAAGTGTTGTAAATTGGTTGCTGGTTAGAACTTTTAGCAATAACATCCCTCACCTTATCTGTGCATAAATGAAAAGAAACCAAGCTAAAATTAGATAAAGTTTAAACATCTCAGGGGAAGAAGTTTGCATCACCTGCCTGTTGTTTAGTCTAACTATGAGAGAGGCAGGCTCAGTGAAACAAGTGAGCCTGTCAGGGAGGCAGTGAGGCAAGATAAACTAAGAACATCATATCTTGAAAGATGTAACTACCCATGTGACATCCGTTCTGGTACAGCGAGTTCCACTTACAGCAGAACAGAAACTGGTTCCTGTACATCTAAAATGTGGCCTCCTGGAATGTTCAACTCTACGGTTATTCAGGTAATTATGCCAAAATAATGATGTGAAAGTCTAAATAATCAATGTAAACAAAGCATGCAAAATGACACAGTTCACATTTGCAATAAAAGGAGTTTAAACAAATAATATAATGAATTATTGGCTAAACAATATAAAAAGGTGAGAGCAGGAAGTGAATAGAGAAAAAGTACTTTACTTTAAAGTCACAGAGGGACAGATTCATTCTGGCACTTTATTTTTTCACATCACAAAGATCCAAACATTATGGCATGCCCCTCATGGCATCTAAACTCACATAAATACTGCTAAAACAACATTTAAACAACTACTCTCAGCTGTGTTGTTTAAAAGTTGGATTTATGTTGATTTAGTGGTGTCCAGACTCCCATCTGACAAAACCTGATACAATACTGGGGTAGGACTCTTCTTCAGCACACAGTGCTCACATGAGGCCATCTGGTGAAATGCATGTTAGATATAACACAGTGCACTTCCATAAATTAATAAAATAAAACTCTATAATAAGCCAGATGTAAACAGATGTTCTCCTCCAGCAACTGTTTTTAGAGAACAACAAAGTTAACGCACAGATTGGAAACATGCACAGCATGTAAGATCAAATTCAACTAATATGAAGATGAAGCCAACTTCGAATGACTGATAACCACAAGCACATCTTCCTTACAAAAAAAACTTCCCAGGAAATAAAATTATCAGCAAACAGAATAAATGTAGACGAGCGCAGTACATAAATATCTCTGATTCGGGATTTAAAATGACAGATATGCTACGTAATCTTTCCCAGGAAGCTAAAGGGTTTTAGTGCCGTAATTACCGAAGCTGATGGATGACACAAGACAGGAGCATAATCTGATTTGAACAGGAGGCCGCAGGACTGTGTGCAGAAAAAGAACTTACCACCATTTTATTTTTGGACACCCAGCAGTCAGCGGGGAAGTCCTGCAGCATGGGCACCAGGAACTGCAGGCAGCCGTCCCAGTGACACAGCAGCAGCATCATCCCGATAAGATTGACTATTCGCACCATGGCACTGGCCAGGTCATAGGTCATGTGGAATATCTGAAGAAGGGGAGATGAAGAAAGCAGGAAATTGGTTAGAGTGATGATTAAACCTTCTGACTATCTGTTCATGAACTCTCTCTGAATTAGACAAGACGTGCATCTCCTGGAGGCATTGTCTTTCTCAATGGTGGGGCCGATCCAAAGACCTCACTAAGCCATCAAATTGGTAGTAGCGACGGGCGGTGTGTACAAAGGGCAGGGACATAATCAACGCAAGCTTATGACCCGCGCTTACTGGGAATTTCTCGTTCATGGGAAATAGTTTCAATCCTCGATCCCCATCACGAGCGGGGTTCAATGGATTACCCACGCCTCTCGGAGGTTAGGCACTGCGGCAGATGTGCAGCCCCGGACATCTAAGGGCAGCACAGACCTGTTATTTCTCAATCTCGCGTGGCTGAATGCCACTTGTCCCTCTAAGAAGTTGGACGCCGACCGCACGGGGCCGCATAACTAGTTAGCATGCCGGAGTCTCGTTCGTTGTTGGAATTAACCAGACAAATCGCTCCACCAACTAAAAACGGCCATGCACCACCATCCACAAAAGTGGTGCCCTTCCGTCAATTTCTTCAAGTTTCAACTTTGCAACAATAACCCCATCCCCCCAGAATCCAAAGACTTTAGTTTCTCAGGTGCTGCCAGGTGGGTCATGGGAATAACACTGCCGGATCACTGCCGGATCGCTTGGTTGGTGTAGTTTACGGTCAGAACTACGACGGTATCTGATTGTCTGTTCCTGAACTCTCTCTAATTTGCACAAGACATGCATCTCCTGGAGGCAGAGTCTTTCTCAAAAAACGGCACAATGTTCTTTGGTTCTATACATTGCCTTTGCCATGCAGATGGCTGCTGGTGCTGGAATAAGACATAATAAGACCCTGCCAAAAAATAAAAGCTGGTGGAGGGAGATGTTGTTGTGTGTCCAGGGCTTCACTGGGGCATGGTCATCATTCATTACTGGAGCCAGAACTCTTCCTTCCAGGCTGCTGAATCACTTTTATCATCAGCTGCTCTGCCAAATTTAATAACGCTACAAGTAGAAGTGGCTGTGCTCCTGGAGGGAGCGTGCTCACTGGGTTTGTTAATCCTTACAATAAACATGCTCATAAGGAGCTGCAGGACTTCTAGACTTTAATGGCCTCAACCAACCAAAGGCTTATAATCCCATAGACGACCATAGTGTGCACTGCTAGCCACTCTGCTTCTTATTAAAATCCATTTGGTGCCTTTAAAGGACTCGTGAGTGAGAGGGGGTTATTCCATCTTCACTTTGTTGCTCAGCAGTAGTTAATATTTATAAATGCAGGTGAAACATCCTCATTGCCCAGGTTTAATCCTAGTTTTTGTCCCTGACTGCTTATTGTTCTGTTTCCAGCCGGATGCCCCCAGATGTGAGTATGTATCTGTATTCTCCCTCTGTTTGCGTGAACAAAATGAGGTTAGCAGGAGCTGATGTCTGCTGTAAGTGTGGTTGCTACTGTATCATCAGATCACCTCAATGTTGTTCTTTCAACAAACCAGGAAGAGGTCAGGGTTATACTCCAGGGGAAAAAATGGACAAGGACTTGTTCATTCATGAATGCAGTGCCCCCTTTCCCCTCTGTTTCTTGTCTCTTTCTCAGAATAAGTTTGAAGTAATCACCTGAGCTGAACGATTAATTTAGCAGTCTTTTCTTGATTTTTCTCTCTCCTTGTTGTCTCTATCTTCTGTTTACAAATGTACATAATAGATTAGCTTGTTTGTTTGTTTCTTTAAAGTAGCCTTCTTTTCAAATCCAATCATTGTTACTCATGTTATGCTGGCTAATATGCAATGTTGTGTGATGTCTGAATTCCTGATGGAGCTATAACAGAGTTCCATAAGTTGAAAGTGTTAAATTCCCTCTGTGGTGAATAAATAAATTATGAATACCCTTTCTCCATCTTGTGCGCTGAGTCTGATACATTTTTTATTTGTTAAATCATATTTTCAGACCGGAAAGGGATCTCTTGAAATGCAGGCTGCTTTTAAAACTATAAGCAAATGTCATTTTAAACACAGCTTTTATTTAAGACAAAGGACTGACAGGTTTAGTTAAAAAAATGTGATTTTTACATTTATATTTAGGTATTTGTAAAAGCATGTCTATTTTTGGCATGCCTATTCATGAAAATTATCAACTATACTGGCAGAAATTTTGATTTAAGGGCAGAGGTGTAGGAGATGTCAATCATTTTAAAGATCTATTGGGTTGTTTTACTTTTCCTTCAGTGCGCCTGGGAGCCTTTTTGTGCATTTAAACATTTGAAGAGCAACAAAGCAAGGCCTCTGGCTGGTTTGCAGTCTAGCTATTTGAATTGGTGCAAACATATAAATATCCTGATGCATGCTCAATAATCCAGGTAGAAAAATCTAAAAAAGTTCAATCTGGTCCTCTGGACATTCAAAAAAAACAAAAAAAAAAACAAAGCAAAACAACAACAAAAAAATGTAGAAACGTTTCGTCTCCCATCCGAGAGACTTCTTCAGTCTGAGGTGCTGTATTCAGCTCAGTCTCTTAAATAGCACCTTCTCAGGGTGGATCAACCAGTTTTGCTGCTGACAACCAAAACCAGCTGATCACATGCTCAAAAAGGACCATCAGCCTAACAATGGATCATTAGCACCCTGATGGCTGTTTACTTTTCACAGAGGGCTGACCACTGGTTAACATATGACCAGTGGTCATTCCATATGTTGAGGGAGTATCAGAGAAGCTGAGACGTTTATTTTCTTAACATAACGTCCCAGTGGCTTTTAAACCCCAAAATACATTACAGCAAAGACTGGTTCATCCCAAAGATCCAGTCCCCCGGCACAAACAAAGTAATATTGTGTATGCTGTTCAGTGTCAGGAGGGCTGTGATCAGTCTTACATCGGGGAAACAAAACAGCCACTGGCCAAAAGGATGGCCCAGCACAGAAGATCAACATCATCAGGCCAGGACTCTGCGGTCTACACTCATCTCCAGGCCAGCGGTCACTCTTTCAGGGATGAAGATGTGCACATCCTGGACAGAGAAGAACGATGGTTTGAGAGAGGAGTAAAGGAGGCCATCTTTGTGAAAAGAAACCGTCCATCATTAAACAGGGGTGGAGGCCTCCGGGTTCAACTGTCCCCCTCTTACAATGCTGTGATTGCTAGTATCACTCAGCCCTCTGTGAACAGTAAACAGCCATCCCACAGCTCTCTGAGGTCAGCAGACCAGATGTTTCTAGTGGTTCCAGAAACCCGCCATAAGCTCAGAGGTGACAGGGCCTTCTCTGTTGCAGGTCCAAGACTGTGGAATGAGTTACTGTATCACTGCATGTCAAGAAGTCCCCCTCCCTCACTGTTTAAGTCTCGCTTAAAAACCCACTTTTATTCCCTGACTTTTGACACTGTGATTTGTTCTTAACCTGTCTGTATTCTACAATATTAGCCATTTAGTCATTATCTTCTTCCATTCGTATCTTGACCTCTCTAAGTAGCTTTAAATATCTGTTAATTCCCTGAGCAAAACCAATGCAGACATGTTCTTGTTTTCAGTTTTCTACTTTGTACATCACCTTAGAACCTAGCTGTTTTTTGTAGCATTTTCTTTTAAATACCATTTTATTTTTCACTTGTTATTCTCAATTTGTTTGCATCCTTTATGATTTTCTATTGTTGCCTTTATTGTCCAGTGTTGTCATCACTCTTTGTTAAAACCATGTCTCTCTTTAAAATGAGTCCCCGAGGCTCAATGGGATTAACCTGAATAAATAAAGGTTGAATCTATATTTTTATTTTACTTTTTTTTATTTTTTGCTGTGTGCTTTGCTTGTTTGTTCCACTGTACAACACTTTGGTTGGCCTTGTTGCAGTTTTAAGTGAACTATAAATAAAGTGGTATGGTATGGTATGGTATGGTATGGTATGGTATGGTATGGTATGGTATGGTATGGTATGGTATGGTAAGGTATGATATGGTATGGTATGGTATGGTATGGTATGGTATGGTATGGTATGGTATGATATGGTATGGTATGGTATGGTATGGTATGGTATGGTATGGTATGGTATGGTATGGTATGTTATGGTATGGTATGATATGGTATGGTATGGTATGGTATGGTATGGTATGGTATGTTATGGTATGGTATGGTATGGTATGGTATGGTATGGTATGGTGATCACATTAAATCAAATACTGAAGATACTAGAGTAAAGTTCTTGTGGCTTTGCCAGTCATTTGCTCATTTGTTATATTATTTTATTTTAAGTATTTCAAGCTTTTCAAATCCAGGACCAAACAACTAAAAGTAGTAGTTCTTTTTCTTCTTTTTATTGTATTATATATGGGTGTTACCAGGACCTAAAAATGTTTTAAACATGTTTTTTGTGTCATGTGGCTTATCCCCAAGCCTGCCAGTGGACTATAGAGTCAATCCACTTCTGAAGCTGGATAAGTTCCTTTCAACATCTACCTGCAGAATTGGAATGATTTATTCCTATTTAACAAGAACTCCTGGTACATTCAGATGTTAGCTGTGCCCTCAAAAGACCTCTGTCACTTAGTTGCTGCGTGGAGAATAAAGCCTACGGGAACTGTGACAGGTAATGCCATGCAAATCTCCAGTTTGTAACCCAGACTGTACAGCGACTGTAGGAGGGTGAATCCTCTATCTCCCTTCACAGCTGCAGGCCATTCAAATACTGCCATGCCAAGCAGGAGCAGGCTTTTCATTTACCCCCCAAAAAATAAATAAAAAACAGCCGCAAGATTGGCTTATGGGGGGAGGAAATGAGGTCCGAGTATCTACACTCCTCATTTCACCTCTATTTTTTATTGTGTCCTCTGTAGTTTAAAAATATAGCCACTGACAGCAGGACTTCTCTGTTTAGTAATTAAAAAAAAAACTATAATTTATGTGAACACAAACATGTGCACACCACTGAGCAAGGAATGTGTGCATGTGTGTTTGCACTTTAGATGACAGCAGTGCA